CAAAAAAATTGCATATATAAAGAGCCCCCGAGTGCAACTTTACTTTGTTCGGACCCCACGTGGGCACGGGGTCAGAGTGTGATACGGGGTCAGAGTGGGATGCACACCACGCCAAGCGGTGGCTGCTGTCCAATGCTAACGGCTTCTAACGCGCCGGGCGCATTATCGTTGGATTCGCTCTCTTCACCCGGACCAGATCCACCGCCTTGAGAGCGAGAGGGAGAGAGCCCGGGTACTGTGCGCGCGATTGTTGGTCGGGGTTTCCTGTAGCCTGGACACGACTGCGCCGCTTTACTTCGGGAACCTGGCGGAACTCCGCGGGCTCGTGGGGTCGAGCGAGAGAGACGTCCAAGTCGATGCAGGGTCCGTCTCCTCTCCCGCCACTCCTCTAAGGGATCGTTGATAAGTTGCTTTAGTTTGGCTGCTGGAGCCGTTGGCATTTTACCCGGAATTTTAAGTTTCTCATCCGTGACCTGGTGAGACTTTGCACAGCTCAATAAATTCGCTGCTTCTGAAGGACGTCTCTCTTCGACGCGTCGCGGGGCTTTCGCGGCCGATATTGCGATTCGTAATTTACTTTTTGGACTTGGATTGCGCGAGTAAAGTGTGTGTTGTGAACGCTCCTCCACCTGACACTGCCGATTAGTAACGTCACGTGAACAAACGTGACAATTAATGCCTGTTTCAGCACTCCGCGCCAGTGAGCTGAAGAGGAATCCACGCACATGTAACAATTGTTTGAGGACATTACGCTGCTAGTTACAATCAGGCTCATCAGGCAGGTGCCTTAGAAGTGCAATCATATAGCGAAGAATTACATTGATCAAGAAATACGTCCCCGACTTAATCAACAACGTATACGCGAAGCGACGCGTAATGCACGGGATGCTGATTCCATAATCGCCAGCACGGTTTGGCCTCTCAGTCGACGGAAAGCATCGTTCTTAAGTTTACGCAATTTGAACGAGGCCCATTGTAGTGAAGACACGTGTGGAGTATACGTATGGAGTATACGTGTGGTGTGTACGTGTGGAGTATACGTATGGTGTGTACGTGTGGAGTGTACGTGTGGAGTATACGTGTGGTGTGTACGTGTGGTGTGTACGTGTGGAGTATACGTGTGGTGTGTATGTGTAGAGTGCACGTGTGGTGTGTACGTGTGGTGTGTACGTGTGGTGTGTACGTGTAGAGTGTACGTGTGGTGTGTACGTGTGGTGTGTACGTGTGGTGTGTGTGTGGAGTGTACGTGTGGAGTATACGTGTGGTGTGTACGTGTGGTGTGTACGTGTAGAGTGTACGTGTGGAGTATACGTGTGGTGTGTACGTGTGGTGTGTACGTGTGGTGTGTACGTGTAGAGTGTACGTGTGGAGTATATGTGTGGTGTGTACGTGTGGTGTGTACGTGTGGTGTCTACGTGAGGAGTATACGTGCGGTGTGTACGTGTAGAGTGTACGTGTGGTGTGTACGTGTGGTGTGTACGTGTGGGGTGTACGTGTGGTGTGTACGTGTGGAGTGTACGTGTGGAGTGTACGTGTGGTGTGTGTGTGTAGAGTGTACGTGTGGTGTGTACGTGTGGTGTGTACGTGTGGTGTGTACGTGTGGAGTGTACGTGTGGTGTGTACGTGTAGAGTGTACGTGTGGTGTGTACGTGTGGAGTGTACGTGTGGTGTGTACGTGTGGAGTGTAGGTGTGGAGTATACGTGTAGAGTGTACGTGTGGTGTGTACGTGTAGAGTGTACGTGTGGTGTGTACGTGTGGAGTGTACGTATGGTGTGTACGTGTGGTGTGTGTGTGGAGTGTACGTGTGGTGTGTACGTGTAGAGTGTACGTGTGGAGTATACGTGTGGTGTGTACGTGTGGTGTGTACGTGTGGTGTGTACGTGTAGAGTGTACGTGTGGAGTATATGTGTGGTGTGTACGTGTGGTGTGTACGTGTGGTGTCTACGTGAGGAGTATACGTGCGGTGTGTACGTGTAGAGTGTACGTGTGGTGTGTACGTGTGGTGTGTACGTGTGGGGTGTACGTGTGGTGTGTACGTGTGGAGTGTACGTGTGGAGTGTACGTGTGGTGTGTGTGTGTAGAGTGTACGTGTGGTGTGTACGTGTGGTGTGTACGTGTGGTGTGTACGTGTGGAGTGTACGTGTGGTGTGTACGTGTAGAGTGTACGTGTGGTGTGTACGTGTGGAGTGTACGTGTGGTGTGTACGTGTGGAGTGTAGGTGTGGAGTATACGTGTAGAGTGTACGTGTGGTGTGTACGTGTAGAGTGTACGTGTGGTGTGTACGTGTGGAGTGTACGTATGGTGTGTACGTGTAGAGTGTACGTGTGGAGTATACGTGTGGAGTGTACGTGTGGAGTGTACGTGTGGAGTGTACGTGTGGTGTGTGTGTGGAGTGTACGTGTGGTGTGTACGTGTGGAGTGTACGTGTGGTGTGTACGTGTGGAGTGTACGTGTGGAGTGTACGTATGGTGTGTACGTGACCGACCGTATTGGGTTTTTTTTGTTTATTTTCACGGTTGTTGAGCACAGCCTCAAAGACAGCGGAGTTACAATAACTTGGGAAAATCTACGATGGGAAGAGGGGATTCCAAAGTGGAGCAGAAGCGCTGTGTCCGGCAGAGTGGTGAGTGGGTGGGTGAGTGTGTTGTTGTGAGTGGGTGAGTGAGTGGGTGTGTGTGTTGTTGTGAGTGGGTGAGTGAGTGGGTGTGTGTGTTGTTGTGAGTGGGTGAGTGAGTGGGTGTGTGTGTTGTTGTGAGTGGGTGAGTGAGTGGGTGTGTGTGTTGTTGTGAGTGGGTGAGTGAGTGGGTGTGTGTGTTGTTGTGAGTGGGTGAGTGAGTGGGTGTGTGTGTTGTTGTGAGTGGGTGAGTGTGTTGTTGTGAGTGGGTGAGTGTGTTGTTGTGAGTGGGTGAGTGTGTTGTTGTGAGTGGGTGAGTGAGTGGTTGAGTGTGTTGTTGTGAGTGGGTGAGTGAGTGGTTGAGTGTGTTGTTGTAAGTGGGTGTGTGTGTTGTTGTGAGTGGGTGAGTGAGTGGGTGTGTGTGTTGTTGTGAGTGGGTGAGTGAGTGGGTGTGTGTGTTGTTGTGAGTGGGTGAGTGAGTGGTTGAGTGTGTTGTGAGTGGGTGTGTGTGTTGTTGTGAGTGGGTGAGTGAGTGGGTGTGTGTGTTGTTGTGAGTGGGTGAGTGAGTGGGTGTGTGTGTTGTTGTGAGTGGGTGAGTGAGTGGGTGAGTGTGTTGTTGTGAGTGGGTGAGTGGGTGGGTGTGTGTGTTGTTGTGAGTGGGTGAGTGAGTGGGTGTGTGTGTTGTTGTGAGTGGGTGAGTGAGTGGGTGAGTGTGTTGTTGTAAGTGGGTGAGTGAGTGGGTGAGTGTGTTGTTGTGAGTGGGTGAGTGAGTGGGTGAGTGTGTTGTTGTGAGTGGGTGAGTGAGTGGGTGTGTGTGTTGTTGTGAGTGGGTGAGTGAGTGGGTGTGTGTGTTGTTGTGAGTGGGTGAGTGAGTGGGTGTGTGTGTTGTTGTGAGTGGGTGAGTGAGTGGGTGAGTGTGTTGTTGTGAGTGGGTGAGTGAGTGGGTGTGTGTGTTGTTGTGAGTGGGTGAGTGGGTGGGTGTGTGTGTTGTTGTGAGTGGGTGAGTGAGTGGGTGTGTGTGTTGTTGTGAGTGGGTGAGTGAGTGGGTGAGTGTGTTGTTGTGAGTGGGTGAGTGAGTGGTTGAGTGTGTTGTTGTGAGTGGGTGAGTGAGTGGGTGAGTGTGTTGTTGTGAGTGGGTGAGTGAGTGGGTGTGTGTGTTGTTGTGAGTGGGTGAGTGAGTGGGTGAGTGTGTTGTGAGTGGGTGAGTGTGTTGTTGTGAGTGTGGGAGTGAGTGGTTGAGTGTGTTGTGAGTGGGTGAGTGCATGTGTTGTTGTGAGTGGGTGAGTGAGTGGGTGAGTGTGTTATTGTGAGTGGGTGAGTGAGTGAGTGGGTGAGTGTGTTGTTGTGAGTGGGTGAGTGAGTGGTTGAGTGTGTTGTGAGTGGGTGAGTGCATGTGTTGTTGTGAGTGGGTGAGTGAGTGGGTGAGTGTGTTGTTGTGAGTGGGTGAGTGAGTGGGTGAGTGTGTTGTTGTGAGTGGGTGAGTGAGTGAGTGGGTGAGTATGTTGTTGTGAGTGGGTGAGTGAGTGGTTGAGTGTGTTGTTGTGAGTGGGTGAGTGTGTTGTTGTGAGTGGGTGAGTGTGTTGTTGTGAGTGGGTGAGTGTGTTGTTGTGAGTGGCAGTGCGGATGAGCCTAAAGAGTCGCTTTGGTAGACTGAGCCCTCAACATGGCGGAGGAATCATCGAGCAAATTCTATGGGCAAAGCAATCGTCGCAGTCGCTTCACCGTCAATGGGCCGCATCAAATGTTCCTCCAGCTGTCCCGGTGCTGCACCCCCTATGCATGCATGCTGAACTTCATTCGCACCTCACGTAGACAACCTAGCCAAGCCTCCTGGATACGCTTCATGTCCGCATCGTCGGGTGCGACGATGATCCGTGAGCAGCGTCGAGTCGAGTCCCCTTGAGCGGGGGAGCCCACGTGCACTCGGGTTTTGTTCTGGATCTATTTTCGACGCTGAACCGCGCGCGGGGGCGACGCGAGCCGGAACACGTTCTGTCGAAGTTGAGCCGCGCGCCCGAACAGGGCCCAGACGGCGGTGTGGGGCGAGGAGGTCCTCTCCGGTGGGGGAGACCGGCGCGGGACGACGTGACGACGATTCGGTCCCGGTGACGTTCGTGCCGGAGTCGGACCGCCGGATCGCGAGGGTGACGGGCGCGCCGTTAGCAGCGCGTCCGGAACGTCTCGAGGCCCCTCGGGCGTGGGACGCTGGCAGTGCCCAGGTCCTCGGGGCGACGGAGCACATCCTGGCGGGGGGATGCGAGAGTCGGAGATGCGTAGCTCCGTCTCCATGCCGACGCTGCCCTGTCGCCAGATGTTGTTGATGTTGTTGATGTTCAGTGAAAGAAAAAAAAAAACGATAGACATTGCGTCTCGTTTCGCACGCAGGCACCTCAACAACGAGCACGCTCTGGACGATCGGAGCACGGCCCAGTGCCGGGTGCAGATGCAAGTGGTGCAGCAGTTGGAGATACAGGTGAGATTCCGCGTCAGCGTTTGCGTTGCGGTGAGGGCCAGGGGCAGGTGGACGCAGAGGCAGATGAGCGCACGGGAGTGTGGGGCTGTGGCCCGTTGCCTGTCCCTCCTTGCAAACACAATCCTCGTGTTGCGGCTGCCTAGACCACTCTGCAGCAATGTTGGTCTCTCGCTCTCTCTCTCTCTACAAAGTGTGCTTATTGGAAAAACAAATCCTTCGTTAAAAATAAATCCTAATCATGACAGTGATATTATTAATCGTAGCATTAAAGTGACAGATACGTTTAAAATATTCAAGAGCGATCATTCTCCTTCACGTGTTTTGGAATCTGAACAAACCTGTTTAAAAAAACCGAAAAATTGGCAAATTTTTGCACACGTGTTGTTCCTCTTTCCATAATGATTTGCTGACAAGGTCAGCAGGTTTTCTTATTCATAATACTGTGCATACAAGTCAGTCCAACAAAAGCCATCCATTAAACAACAAAAAAAACTTCATAACTGTAAAAAAAAGGGGGGCAGTGTTTGACTGACGCGTAATGAACAACAAAATCGGTCACCGACGCTGTCGTCATTTTAAAACGCCGTGCTATACAACCTGCGCCGATGCTCGTTGAGACATCGAACTTCTGCGCGATGTTGTGCGCGTCCGTTACGTATACGGTCGACACTTAATTTGCCACGCGTGGACCTCTTCACGTCGCGTTGCAGGAGACGGTCCTCTCTCTGTGCCCGTCACGACGGCTGTGCATTACATTTAAGTGTCCGAGCCAATGGCGGGCAAATCAAATGTGAAAGCGACGCGCTATATATTTTGTTTCCCAAAAATAATTCAGCGGAATTTCGCCGTAAGCCCTGGAATATTTCAAGACTGACATTTTGCCGGGGACAGTTAATATTGCGGGCATAATCTAATAAAGGCACTCCCCAGGAATGACATGGCATGCTAAGCAAAAGCATATGATACACTTTAGCTCCCTGAAATATGCAATATATGCAGGGCATTTATAACTCGGAAATATTTCACATCGAAAAAATTGTGATGGCCTGGTGGCAGCAGTTAAAGGAACAACTTTGAATAAAAGGGACAAAAAATCCTTGTTCCTTTGGAGTGCTCACGGAAACAAATCCTTTACGCCATCCCCAGGGCTCGAGTCTGGTCCCTAAGAGCTTCGCTATTGGTAACTTGTGCGCATTTTTTTTCCTTCATATTTAACATTTTGCTGACCTAAAAAAAAATGCGACCAGAAAAATAATGCGGCGCAATTTGTATCTGTAACCTTTGCTAAAACACACAGCAGCCTTTGTCAGGTTGATGCAAGCCTGCCTTTCTTGAAGAAAGGCGCTATGAATAAGCAATAGCTTTCTGTAAGTAACTGTTTGTTAAAATATTTATCGGATCTGCCTTACTGGGGTTTAAAATTTCATGACGAGATGATGTTATTTGGAGCCGTACGCTATTTAGGAAAGGGGGCCTTTCAGTTTGATTTGCGTGCGCGGTGGCTGATGGCTGACGGCTATGTTGTGCGATGGCCCCCCGCAGCTGGAGAAGGAGCGGGAGAGGCTGCAGGCTATGATGGCCCACCTCCACATGCGCCCCTCAGAACCCAGGACTCCCCTGCAGCCTGTGAGTAGCACGTCGGTCAGAGGCGAGCGCTTCTCTTGAGCCAGGCGGGCGCACTCACGCGTCGACAGACAGCCGGCCAATTAAAAATCGTGGGGCGGTCACGATCGTCGTCGTCATCACACACCCCCCCGATTAGGATGGTTGGCTTCGTACGGTGCGAAAGAGGTTCAACGTACATCATCACCGTCGTGGTGGCTGTCGTAATCATCATCATCATCGCCGTCATCCTCATTGTCAGTTGTACTGCTGCTTATCGTCTTGGTCATTGTGGTGTCATGGAGCGGTATGGAGATCAGTGTCATGGTCATGATCGGCGCTGTCGAGTATTACGGTGGGTGTCGTCATTGTGATGTGATGAAGTCACCACTAGATTAGTGTAATCAATCGCATCATCGTTGTGAAGTATTGTGGAAATGATCATAATTAATCCTTGTGAGCATCAACATAAAGCCTTGTGATCGTCATAATTACAAACAAGATGTTCATTTTCTTTGGTTCTTTCGGTAAAGTCACGTAGAATGAGAATAAAATAATAAATTGATAAAATAAAATAACACAATAATATTCTCACGACGTTTCGGCCACAACACAAGCGGCCTTCATCAGGTGAAGGGAGCGAGACTGTCTGGTAGGACAGCGCTGGAGTGAGAGAGCCACGTTCAGATCACGGCTTTTAAGCTGTGTGAGGGAACAAAGAGCCTTAGAGTCGCGGCATCTCTTCAGAAAGGTGAGAGACTCGATTAGTTGAGCCTTCTTATCCCGAAGTCTGTTGAATGATCTTAAGGATGTGTGGAATCCCTAAGATCATTCAACAGACTTCGGGATAAGAAGGCTCAACTAATCGAGTCTCTCACCTTTCTGAAGAGATGCCGCGACTCTAAGGCTCTTTGTTCCCTCACACAGCTTAAAGGCCGTGATCTGAACGTGGCTCTCTCACTCCAGCGCTGTCCTACCAGACAGTCTCGCTCCCTTCACCTGATGAAGGCCGCTTGTGTTGTGGCCGAAACGTCGTGAGAATATTATTGTGTTATTTTATTTTATCAATTTATTATTTTATTCTCATTCTACGTGACTTTACCGAAAGAACCAAAGAAGATGAATCATTGCAGTCACGAAAGCTTTAAATCGAAAGATGTTCATTATTACCATCGTGATTGTCAAATTGCTAATCGTTATTCATCATCAACAGCATGTTGGTCATCATCAGCAAGCCATGAGATCATAGTCACCAATTACTAAAATCGTTCCTACCCAATTGTGATTGTTACCATTATTGTACTCATGGCATTACTGCTCAATTAAATAACCGTGCATAGTAGAATAGTCTAAGACATTATACCGATGTGTTGTTTTAAGTCAATTTAACATCGTAATTATTTCATGAGTGAATAAATTCATGGCAAATGTAACTCAACGTGATGCTGGGTAATCAAAGGATTTTGTTGCATTCTTAGAAATTGGTTAACTCTGGACATTCTCATACAACACAAATAAATTATAACAATCTACATTGACCAACTCACGTCTTGGTCCCATAACGTTCCAACAGGCCTCCTGGATACAACGTACACCACATTTGTCAAAGGGAATTCATTTCTACAGGAAGAAAAACCTAACACACTAACCCTCATTCGACAACTCATAGAAACTGATGTAATCAGCATATATACACATGGGGCATTATATGCCCAACATTTTTAACATATTCTTATAATTTGCACGTGTGTGTTTAGATATGTGCATCTGTCCCCACACAATCACACACATACATCACAATCAACGTGAAACTCTTGAACAACACACGTATAGTACAGACACCTATATTAGGTGTGAATGGACATGTGTGTGCATATTTTCACAAAAATAATTCAATTTCCACCGAAACACCGCTGGGGAGTCTTTATACTTCACCGATATTATTATTGTTGTTGTGTAGCCTTTAATAGAATCGTGGAGTAGTTCAAAACGTTTGTTTTGTGGCTTCTCTACATTGGAGATGGCTTCAGAAACCACGAAACACGACGCCGGTGCTTGCGACGTGAAGTGGCGTTACAGAATTGTAATAATTCACTCCAGTGGGTGGCTGTGCGTGGCTCGGGGAGTCGTGCGACACTGGACCAATACAAACGGGGATGGTTCCTTTGAGTCTTGGCAGCCGTCCGTGATTAAAATCCGCGACTTCTAGTGGAGCGGGTTGATGGTGTAAGCCCGGTCAATGATGATTGCGCAAAACATCATCTTAAAAAAAGAACTCGTATTAAATTTGGTGTATCACTTACCTTGGCAAAAATGCAATATTTGAGGATTAGAATGATCAATTTCACTACCATGCAGTGGCCTGCCCTTGTTAAATATGGCATTCATATAAACAACACAGACAAGTGTTACATTATTCCACAAGTCGAAATTTACTTGAAATTACAAGTGAAACCTGACTTAAGAAGGAAACTTAATCATTAACGTCGACGTCACAGGGGACAGCACTTTGTGTAATTTTCAAAATAAAAAGGTCCACAGCTGTCGTGGAATCGTAACCGTCAATGGAGTGCCAACCCGTTTAATGCTGAAGGTTCTGACCACGAGGCTACAAACAGCAGACCCCTAGAAAAGCCATTCGCGCACTCCTTGCATTTATTTTACAGTTTGTTGGGCCGAGTGCTGTAAGCGAGCACCTATGAAGGCCGTCACGGCACACGAGGGGGTGGGTGGCCAGCACCGCACCTGGCAGCCTTTGTCTCCCTAGCGGTGATGTTTACACACCGCACCAGATATTCATTTGAGGCTGAGTTAACCTATGACAAGCACAGGACCGGTTCAGAATATCATCATTGGTGTTGGCCGCGAGCCGGAATTGAACTCGGGTCACCGGGTTCGTAGCGCAGCGCGCTCACCGCTGCACCATCACTCACCCGAATAACGACACGCACACACACACAAACAACCCCTTCAGCAGTTCAACATGATTCAGACTGTCTTCATTCTAATTTGTGGGCTGCAGCTTATTCTCTTCACTGAACTAATGGGCAGTGCGTTGATTTAATTTAACCGATGACCGTTCTTAGTGGCGATTTAATGGATATTTTTTAAAGGCTCCCTCCAAGAAAGTGCATTATGTTATCCATCGTAAACACTTTCCATGCCCATAAATGTTATATATTTGATGTTAATGTCTTGTATCATTGAAAGGAATAATTTATTACAGTGGGAAAAATGCAGATTTCCAACAGAAGTATTTATCACTATAAACATCACTTTAAATCATAGTCGAATAAACAGTGCAGTGTTGTCTTGTTTGTGTGTGCCTGTATGGGAGTGTGTGTGTGTGTATGTGGGGAGCGGTAGTGTAACAGTTAGCACGCTGCGCTACGAACCCGGCGACCCGAGTTTGATGCCCACGTATGGACAACCCCAGTGACAATTATCTTAACCGGTCCTGGGCCTCCCCTAGGTCGACTAAGCTTCAAATGAATACTTGGTGCAGTGTGTAACAATTAAAGGCAGCAATCAAACGAGGCGCCCTGCCGGCCTTAATAGGTGCTCGCTAACAGCACTTGCCGCAACAGTCTGTTGGAGGCTTATGGGGGTTCTGTGTGGAGTGATGGTGCATTGGTCTGTGGAATGTCCTACAATGCAAGTATCTTGGGTTCCATTCCTGACGAAGGATAATATCAGTGGCGTGGTGATATCTGAATCTGTCCTGGGCATTTCGAAAGTTGAGTTCGCTACAAAATTGATACCTGGTGCAATGTGTAAACAACAGCACGCGAGAGACAAAGGTGGTCATGGTACTGGCCTCATGCTGGCCTTATTTAAGTCTTACTAACACTACTTTCACTTGTGGTCTATAAGGCCAAATGGTATATGTGTCTGTGTGCGGTGTATTTTTTTGACTCAAAATACGAGTATCCGAAAGGATCTTCACGAAGGATGTTTGGCCATTTCTCATGTTTGAGTATTTTTGCTTGCTATGGGATGGATATGAAGTTCCGAGGGAAACCTCAGATACGTGAAGGAACAACACTTAATCTTCACACAGATAGCTTCAGCAACCTACTTCACGTTTTGTCCTCCTATATGAACGACCCTGGTATCTCATGAAGATGATGATGGAATTTCCCAGTGATCCACCATCCTTGCCTGCAAATCACTGGTTTACAGACGTGCATCATCACCACTCCTGGCCACCAGCCCTTACGATACTGAGAGAGTCTTAATTGGAAAGCAGAACTTTGCGTGTTTTTTTATGGATGCATACCTATGTACACTCCCCAAATTAATTACATTTCAGCAAGGGGCATTTCTCTGAGTGTCTGCCACCGTGCTGTTTATCTAATGCCACTACCGGTGTAACTGTTTCCACAAGACAATGTGTAAACAGTAGCCACGAGCCACTCTTCTCCCTGTTTCTCTGCTACTGCTACTATATATTTTGTTCCACGTTATTTTCCTCTTCGGGGCGAGTGTAATTGTAATTTGTTATTCCTGCTTGTCCACAACTGCCAACACGGTGTCGCATATTCGTCATGATCTAGGTGATGAAATTGGCATATTTATTTTTCTTCTCAGCCTCGGTTGTTTTTTTTTTGTTACACGGCGATTTACCGCGTGCACGTAACTACGTCCTCCAGCTGTCGTGTTTGCTTGTTTAAAAAAAAAGCACACACAACGCACGTGTCACGCGTGCGATGACTCCGCCGCCGCCGAGATTGAATGTGACACTGAACTAAAGTGGCAATAGATTGTGTCTGCCATCGCTCGCACATGTCATCTGTCTGTCTTCACAAGCCTCGGTGGCAATCAGAGCTCTGTTGACTTGTTTGTGTCGCGGAGAAAGTGGGAAGCTCCACAGATCTAAACCCTTACCAGAGATGGAATTTGGCTTCATATTTTGTTTCAGAAGTCGCAGCGAGTGTCGTGTTGTTTTTATACACGTCTTTTTCCATTCGAACCGAGAGCAGTTGGCTTTCCACGCCGCCATCCAAAGCACACACACACACAAA